GTTTGTGCCGGGGAAGTGAGAGGACTGGAGAAGGTGGAGGATTCGTCAAATCAGTTCTGTGGAAAGCGGCTAAGAAAAGGAAGGTGAAAAAAAAGAAAACAATGACTCACAGCTTGAAATCAGAAACTCCAAGCTCTATACACAGCGAAGCTGGTCGTTTCTGTGGTTATTTATTGCTGTATTGAGGCAGAACTTGTCTGCAGCGAGGTTGAACTTGGCTTGAACTCGGCTTCAGGCTGAGGTTGGGTTGTACTCGGCTGCAGTGAGGCTGTAGCAAGTTTCGTCTCCGTATTTTCCTCGTAGTCCTCAGTTCTCTACACGCGGTACTCGTCTTTGAAAAGGATGGCCGTTGTGTCGGAAGTGGCTGGCCGGGTCACCGACGAAAAAGAAGGAACGAAGTGCCGCAGCACGCCGACGCTGACGGCGTCAGCCACACACGACTTCAACTCACAGCGCTGAGAGAAGAAACACTTCCACCATGAACCGGATCCCGTCACCGACTATTTATTTACGAATATATACATATATTACATAACACTGCCCCACGAAGCGCCACATCACATTTGAAAAAAAAAAAACCGAAGCTGAACGAAACTGCACGACGCAACAACTGCAATGCTTTCACGATGGCTCAAAGGCTTCGTTTAGTTCGTGGGCCGTCTGTTGTGAACCAGTGGTGAGAAGTGGCATGTACTTCTAGGGGCGAAGCTCCTTATAGCGGCACCCGTTCATCCCTAGTAGTGTGTAACAAGTGTTACATTTTGACCTCCAAGGTGGTGCCGGTGGGAGATTCCTCCTGTGCGTTGTTGAACAATAAAAAAAAATTCGCAGTGAGCGCATTAACTAAAAGCCGAATGCTCCTGTCTCTCATTTCCCATTAGCAGCCATTGGCATGTACATTGAGCACTATCTGACAAGAAAGGGTTGCTACGTTATACTCGCTGGGCGTAACCTCCTTGGTTTTAGAAAGGTTTAGCGAGCGTTGAGCCGCAGTGCCATGGATACAATAAACTAGTATATACCATAAACTCGAGGTGGTTAAAGGTGGGAAGTAGATACGAAGCGCAAGCTGTAAGAAAGTAAAAGCCGAATTCTTTTGACTCTTATTCCCCATTAGCAGCCATTGGCATGTACATTGAGCACTATCTGACAAGAAATGGTTGCTACGTTATACTCGCTGGGCGTAACCTCCTTGGTTTTAGAAAGGTTTAGCGAGCGTTGGGCCGCAGTGCCATGAATACAATGAGCTAGTATATACCGTGAACTCGAGGTGGTTGAAGGTGGGAAGTAGACCCGAAGCGCAAGCCGTAAGAAAGTGTGCGCGTGCCACCTCTTGTTTAGTCCTTGGAATGTCCGCTGGATGGCGGTGCTTCTGTATGAGGAATATATAATGAAAAGATGCGAGATGGTGGTGCTTGGAGTGTTGAATAGATGGACGAATGGACACACGGACAGATGCATGGATGGATGCATGGACGGTCACACAGACGGACGCATAAACAGACGGAAGCAAGAACGAATGGACGGACGAATGCTTCGCCCCACTCTTCATCATTCACTCCGTGGATATGCTGCCATTTTTTTTTGCGGAACGTATTCGTTTATCATGATGATAGTTTCGTTACACGAGTTACGGGGTACTGTTTTCTAGATAGTTTCGCTCTTAAAGAAATGGTGCTACACTCGTTTCTAGCACGAAACAACAAAAGAAGACCACATATATATTTACTATATTTACAAAAATAGAAAATAGGCAGTCCTCACTTGTGTGCTTCCTGGCGGCACTCACCCGTCGGCGTTCGTTTGACCTGGTGTGTTCCTAGAGTTAGCTTCGTGTTTCATCGCGCCACCAACGCGAATCTCAGAAGCCACATAAAAATGAGCTCGGGGTCGGGATTCTGCTCTGCTAAGTGCCGCAAGATCCCAGCTGATCTAAACTTCCCGTACCTCCAGAAAGGACTGCTTTCTCTTGATCTACGCCACTTCTCCACTCCTCCGATAAGATAGCTGTGGTCATGTGCCCTTTTTCTCAATATTCGTTTTGTTCCATCCACCGTGGCTCCGCCTATTGGCGCCATGTTCGAAGCTCCAAAGATCCACATGCAGTGCTGTGTGTTCGCTGCATGCAAAGTGCCAATTCGACTAATCATTTTTGGACGCCTATTGAAACAGATGAAAAAGCATTGTGGAGATGCTTTGTTTGGAAAGTGGCACGCACGATTTTTCGTGGTGGAACGAAAAAAAAAAACAATTTCATGGGTCGACTTAAAGTTCGGTTAACCATGGCCACCTAGTCCGGTGTTAACGCGTCCTTGAAAGCGGAGCACGCCATGAATTCACTGTAGTTTCATTGCGGGTCCACAGAATCTCGTTCCCCGAAGCCATCACGTGATTGCTGAGAGAATTGAGGGGGAGAGGCCAAAGCCTCCTATACAGCCACTTACGCAGGCCCAAGGGCCATAGCGCGTGCCAGTGCGTTCTACCTAAGGTACAATCAAGTAATTAAAAAAAATTGTTGGAGTGGAAATTATTGCCCAGGAGTGAAGCCGTCCCCACGAAAAGATTGCGGCTGCGGCCTCCACCTTACCCACAGTAATGTCAACGTTCTATAAACGTTGAGTAAGCTGGCCGTCTCAGCCGCCGTCTTTTCGTGGGTTCCTTAGCCTCTAGCGCTCCCCGCGGTGGTCTAGTGGCTAAAATGATCAGCTGCTGACTCGGTGTCAAATCCCGGCTGTGGCGGCTGCATTTTCGATGGAGGCGAAAATGCTGTAGACTTGTGAGATCAGACTCGGGTGCACTTTAAAGAACCCCAGGTGGTCGAAATTTCCGCAGCCCTCCATTAGTGCATTTCTCATAACCATATAGTGGATTTTGGACCTTGAACTCTGTATATTATTCAATCACAAACGCAGCTGGTTGCGACACGCTTTATTAGACGCGCCGTGAACTCTAGGAAATGAGCGAGGGTATGGGGGACAGACAATACGCTCGAAGGTCACTGCGAGGTTCAGCGGGTACTGTACGAATCGCATCTAGACCCGCAGGTCGCGGGTTCGAATCCCGGCTGCGGTGGCTGCATTTTCGATGGAGGCGGAAATGTTGTAGGCCTGTGTGCTCAGGCTTGGGTGCACGTTAAAGAACCCAAGGTGGTCAAAATTCTCGGAGCCCTCCACTACGGCGTCTCTCATAATCATATGATGGTTTTGGGACGTTGAACCCCACATATTAGTCAATGAATCGCATCTGTGCTCGCAGCCATTCTGTAAAAGACCACCTCTAAAAACAATGCCACCCTTGCACTTACGGAAACACGTCGAATTGCGCACGAGGAAGCCGATTCCGGTGTAAAAAAAAAAAAAAAAAAAGGTAGATCCCACGTACTGTGGCAATCGATGATATGCGAAGCACGTATGAGGAAGGTTGAATTGTCACATGAAAATCAGCACAACACTATGAGACGGGCGTAAATTGTGCCATACATGACTTCCATATCATTATCATCATGTTTGCGCCTGTCATTTGTGCTTGGCATCCATTCACGTCAAAACGCCATATTTTCTATTTGGGAAGCTAGCGAAATGGCCGCGAGTGCAGTATGAGCCTAGCATGTGGTCATGTCTTACATGACACGCATATCATGAGTATAATGTTTGCACAAGTCATATACCTTCGTCATCTATTCACGCTAAACAATACCAAATTTGGTATATATCAAGCTAGTGAAATGGCCGCGAGTGCAGTATGAGCGTATCATGTAGTCATGTTTACATGACACGCATATCATGATTTTAATGTTTGCACCACTCTTATACTATCGTCATTCATTCACGTAACGTAATACCAAATTTGGTATATGTGAAGGTAGCGAAACGACCGCGAGCACATCATGAACGTGGCATGTAGTCATATTTTTACATTACATGCATGTCAGGATTGTCATGTTTGCACCAGTCCAACGGAAAATAGAGGAGGCGCTGGCCTGTCATATACCTTCATCTTCTATTCACGCCACGTAGTACCCAATTCGGTGTATGTGAAGCGAGAGAAACCACCATGAGCACATCATGAGCGTAGCATGTAGCCGTATGTTTACATGACACGCATGTCATGATTTTCATCTTAGGGTCTGTCGCTTGTGTTCGTGATGCAATTATGCCATACCATACCAGTTTCGCAACATGCTATGTGAACGAAACCACCGCAAGAGCTGCAGGACCATGAAATGTAAATGATCACATTCACAACATACATATCATGATTTTCATGTTATGACTAGTCAAATAGGTTCTCCATACAGTCATGTTATGACATACCAAGTTTGGTATCGATACCTTTATCGAAACGGCCAGGAGAGCTAAAAGTCGTAGGCGCCTAGACAGACAGAAAAGCAAACAGAGATAGATAGATAGATAGATAGATAGATAGATAGATAGATAGATAGATAGATAGATAGATAGATAGATAGATAGATAGATAGATAGATAGATAGATAGATAGATAGATAGATAGATAGATAGATAGATAGATAGATAGATAGATAGATAGATAGATAGATAGATGCTGTTAAACTGGCCAAAGTGCACTAAGAAATGCTTAGCATTCAAAAGCGCTTTTACGCGCAGGTACACTTGACATATGCTCGCACGCGCACACAAAGCGGGCACACATCACTGTACAGTACTCCCCGCGGGGTCGTCCGCTCGTTTCCGGCCTCGCAATGGCGCAATACGCGTAGTGTCGTGCGCAGCGTACAGCTGCGTACCGAAGTGACCCTAACATTTACAAGCTCATTTTACATACCTCCGTACGGCTTGCGCTTGGCAAGCTGATAGTTCGAGCCACCTGTTCCACTACATCTGTTGACAAGCTCTGGTCTGAAACCTTCGTATCCAGCGGTCCTGTGCTGACCGTCCTTGACTTCGCGCACATTCTAGAACTGCAGATGGCACCACGTAGGTTTTATGTAGCGGAACGCAGAAGAGGTGGATGCCGCTTTTCGACACCGAAGTTCCGAAGCATTGGTCGGTGTCAACCTGAGTGCGTCGTTTATACACAAAGCAGCATCTACACCATGCCTTCGATGACACATCCGAAACCTGCTTGTCTGTCTTCAAAAGACTACGGCACAGTCGACAAGCGCCAGCAAAATGAATCTCCGTAAGATGTTTTCTCTATTTCTTTTTTTTCACACTTATACGTAAAGATATTGCCAACGTCATGACGTCTTATCTGCTCCTATATACTGCCGTGTACATCACTCTACAATGCCGCTTGTGGCAGGCGGGAGAGGATTTTGTCAGCCACGCGTTGAAAAGTAAACTATAGTTATGTATATATGTGAATCTTTAACATGAACAATAATATTCTAGAGACGATTCATACTCTGTAAATAAGATGTTTGGTTGTGGTATTCTACTCCACCAGGTGCCGAGAAGCTACCAGTGATACCATACGTTCACAATTTTTCAAAAAGCTGAATAAATTAAGCTCAATTACTTGCCTTGATAGTGAATTGTCCCTAATGTAAATATTTAAACTGATGTTCCGATGTCGTATGTATCCATCATAACTCCTCATTTAAGCCTGAACAACTGATAGAAGACTTTTAATGAATATACTCCGAACTGGAGTACGGATTCTACATGTTGATGATAAAGAGAAAAAAATGGGCTCGACAGCCATTAAGTTTACTGAAGCAACACACGAGCAATATATTATACACCCTTGTCATTTTATGGCATACACCCTTCTCATTTTATGGCAATTTTAGAATATACCCAGCTAAGAGAACAACCACTAAAGTACGCAGACGTGTACGTAACTAGGTAGATGGATGAATGCGTGGACCGACGGACGAATGGAAGCGTTCAAAAAGTTTTTGTTTCGCTGAGAAACGTTTCGAGTTTAAAACGCACTCTTCCTTCTCCATTTGCCTGATATTTGGATCTGCACAAATTCGAAGCTCTAAGTGTTACATAACATCCGCATTAACGGAGCTCTAACAAATGTAGAAAGACCCTCTACGGAAAATGTGGAAGCTAGTTGCTGCATTATTGAAGGCATGGGCAGAAAGTCATCGTTATGACGACGCATTACTGGTGATACCTTAATCCGCCGCTGGCACACAGCCACTCACACAATTGCCTGAGATTATTGGAAGACGAAAGCCACCTTCTTGTTATTTTTTTTTCCCTTGTCAGTCAATGATTCTGGTACTCCCCCAACCCCTGGAATCTTCAACCACTTAAAGTGGTTTTTCACTGCGTCTAGCCACACCGCGGTGGTCTAGTGGCTAAGGTACTCGGCTGCTGACCCGCAAGTCGTGGGATTGCATCCTGGCAGCGGCGGCTGCATTTCCGATAGAGACAGGAATGTTGTAGGCCCGTGTGCACGTTAAAGAACCCCAGGTGGTCAAAATTTCCGGAGCCCTCCACTACGGCGTCTCTCATAATCATATGGTGGTTTTGGGACTTTAAACCCCACATATCAATTAATCACTGGGTCTTAGAGAGGACGACCAAAGCGAAAATGTTGTGGGGTGACATCACTGTGACGTCACACTTTTTGGCGATCATTGACTTCATGATGTGGTTAGAGGAATGTCATTGATGTATGAAGTCACATGACCCTCAGATCGTGTCGCTTCTGGTGTACCTACGACATACATACATTTCACATGTGTATGAAATGACTTTTATGAGCTTTATCACTTTGTCGTTCTTGTTTCTTTTTTTACTATTCGCGTCTCGCAAACTATATATGGTGAGGTCTCTGAAATGTCAGCAGGTCTCGCAAAGTATTGTCGCGTCTCGTAAAGTTTCACACTCGTGAGACATACGAGGCTTTCACCTTAATAAAAACAAATCCATGAGCTGTGGTACTCCTTTTTTTATATCTTAACTGCAAAATCTCACTTGATGTATGCTTTGCCGCCTACAGACAGCTGCAACACTGCGAATCTGATTCAGGTGCAGTGCAAAGCTGAGTGGTCTGTCATCGCACGCAGTGGAACTTTTTTTTATTTTCTTTTCCTATGCAGGGCGTTTTTCTTTTAGTGTTTAGACTGGGAATATCGTTCATAAAAATGCCGTGGTAGTCTGGCGCCTGTCATCGTCGCGTATGAACTCTATGTTTGGGCGGAAACACTCTGCAACAGCTGAAGCTGCATTGAATTACTTACACTAACTTGACTGCTGGAGTTCGGACGTGACGTAAAGTCCTGTGCGCAGACCACAGGTGTATGACTGTCAAAGCATCTTGATAAATAACCTGCATGATCAAAAAAAATACTTGCAGCCTATTCTATATATTGTGGGAATGGATGTGGTGTAAAACCCTAGACTTTAAAAAGAATTGGGCACGCTATCAGCTTAGAGCAGTGAGAGTTACTTTCAAAAGGCGTCTTCAATCACTCTTCCGATTAACCATCAAGTGACGTAAGTAGGGTCGTTTGCTGCATCGCGAACTGATTGCAGCGAAACATTTTCGAATATGTGAAAA